GCAACACTCTAAATTATAATAAAACCACAATGCTTTCTTTAAACCAAACTACGATCTTCCTCTTATATATGGCGAATTTATGTTTGAATATTTTGCAAAAATATGTTGCGGTGCATGATGGGGTTTTGTATGTATTACATTATTCCATTTCATTGCCTACATGCCACCTAGACTCACAGTGAATGCGTACAAACCGCTGAGCTTTCATGTATTCATTCTTGAAGAACTACCTGTCTGCCTACATAGTGTATTGTTTTATGCTGGTGTTTTTACAACACTCTGGCTTACGTTGTAGATCTAGTATGTGTGTGTGCGTGTCTGTCTGGCTTTGTGCAAGTGTGGACGTTACGCAGCAGCAGCCACTGTTTTTTTTTATTACCTCCATGTTAATAACCAAAGCCAGTAAAACCGCATTATAGAAGTCTTGGTGATGGTTGTCGTGTGATGCTTGAAGATAGATTGGTTAATCCACAACGTGTATTCGTATTTTGTTTCAAATTTCAGACGTACAACTTTGACTGTGCTTCAATTTTTATTTTATTTTTTTTTTGGGGGGGGGGTCCATAAATTAGCCGGTGTAGATGGAAAAACCAGGGCCGAAAAACTGTTCCCAATCCGTGCCTGCTATGACAGGGACAGTAAACTCTATGGTAACCAGAAAAAAAACAGTCCTTGGTCGTCCTACACTAATCACACTCTATCAGAAAGAAAACGAATAAGCAAGTCATCTGTATTTTCTAAATAAATCAAGAAAAACAGACTCTCACATACTGTAAAGCCCTTGCTAATAAATTTAAACCCATATTTAAACATTTATGACATCTAAAAAAAATCAGAGACTTACACATAATTTTCCTTTCTCCCCCATAAAACACAAGAAATTGTTCTTAAAAGAGCAAAAATTCAGTGTTTAGCATTTTTAGTTAATTACTGTATCTTTGTTGTCAGTTTACACTTTACATACTAACAATTAAAATGTCAAATTAATTTGGACATGAGAACAAATCTGCTGACACCCTCTGGTTTAGAGGTGGTGAACTACGTCCACATGGGGAAATAAATAATTACTGAGTGGTGGTGGCCAAAGGGGTTGGTAAAGGGCCTTTTTGGGTTTTTCTGAGAATACAGACCTGCTTAATCTCAACTAGTCATGTACCACAATAAAATGATTTTACTATTTTAACCTTAAACTACATATATCATAAACAACAAACAATATTGTATAATGTGATCTTGTTTCTTTCCTTTTAAATGGTTTACCAATAAGTACATAGCTTGCCAAATTTGATTTTGATTTTTTTAAATGGTGAATTTAAGATATCCAAAACTGGATGTTATGTAAATATAAGAAGAGCAGTCCACTGCCAAAGATGAAAATAATGTTTATATTTAAAACTCTGTTATTTCTTTAAACAAACTTTACAGGATCAAGGAGTAGTTTTAGTCTGAAAACTGACTTTCAAAAGTCCTACAAACTGTGATAACTGTATCATCCTGAGTCTAATTTCTACTAGAACCAGTTAGAAGAACACTCATCATTTGAAATAGAAAAAAGATTGATTCAGCAAATTCCATATATGCTGTTCACTTTGATGCTTTCGTTTGTGATGTATTTCACTGCTGAATGGGTTGTCTGTAAATCCCATTTAGTAGAAAGATAAGGCTGGTCTGCGCATTACAACATATAAGCTGCAATAAACAAACTCGCTCTTTCACTCTCCCTCTCTGGTGGCTGGGAACAGCCCTCTGGTCAAACTGGAAACCGGCCAAGGACCTTTCCGTCAATTAGCTGGTGTTTTTTCTCTCTCTCTATCTGGGCTTTCACTTTCCTCTGTCTTTCTACCCCTCTGTTCATTTAATTACTTTTACTGTTGGCACTATAGTTTGAAAACTTGGTATAGGATGCCTAAGAATACTATTACTTTGCATTATGTAATCACTACAAGACCACCAATGTCATACTTTTTTTTTCTTGTGCCTTGTAGTTAAATCAGATGAAGTTCAAATTTCAGTTTCACTGAAGTGAGCAGGTGCTTATCCAAAAAAAATATATAAACCATCTCATATTCTATACACAGATAAAATTACATCACAAAGCCAGGGCTCCCCTGCACGCCGCCCCACACACAGCGGTCACCGCTGCATATCAATTACACGGGGAAGTGAAGATCTATTTCTAATTCAATCAGTCAGCACTGGTGTCACATTCCTCGCTCTCTGGCTTTCTCCCAGCCTCTTCGTCCCATTTCCCAACTCGCTTGCTTCTCCACCGATGCATTGCAGTTATTGTAGGTCTGATGGATGCGGGTGTCGAGTTTTGAACGCTTGTTTTTGCATGTGCACTATGACTCTGCAACTTCATGCCCAGCTTACGACAGTTTTATTACATTTATTACCTGTGGAGATGACACTCAGGAGGGCAGTTAACCAATTCATTCAGAGGCTTTAAGGGTCATTTAAGGTTAAAGATAAAAAAAAAAAGCTTTTTTTTTTCTTTTCTTCTGCATCTATGTGGCTTTAAGTTGCCTTCTGCAATAAATACTACTTCTAATTTCCTCACTTGTGGAGAAAAATATTTGAAATATGTTTTGCTTTTTCTTGCCTAAAGACTGCTAGTTTAGAAGGATAAAAAAGGTACTTGGGTTATTTTGCTTTTCTATTCCTCTGCCACATATATATCGATATATATCAACACCACAGGTTTTAGTTTTGAGTTGAATACAGTAAAAACAGCAGTTTAGAGAGGCAAATGAATGGGGTGAAGAAGCCAGGGCACCCTGTGAGGGACCGACCCAGCCAAGCATGAGGACACAGTGGTGATTGTCAAAAAAACTAGGTTTTATTTCCCCAAAGTGACAATAATCCAAACAAAAATTCCAGGGCCCTTAAAAGAGGTCAAATTAAGAAATTAACTAAGGGCAAAAAGTTTTAAGTTCAAACATATGAAACCTCAAACTAACAGAACAAACAAAAAACTGACCTGACACACAGCAAACAAAGGGGACTTAAATACTGGCTGATCAGACCAGACTGACACACTGAGGAAGAGGTAGGGAGAACATCTACAACAAATTAACAAAAAAATAACTAAACAGTTAGCTTAAGGATTAAACTTAAATATCAATATACAAATTAACAAAAAAATAAC